CGTCGTGACGTCGCGGCGCTCGATCTACTGCCCCTACGACGCCCTACCGCGTCGCGAGCGCGCCGTCGGTATCACCCCCACTACACGCCGTATCGTGGCAGCCGCCACCACCACTCCAGCATCACCACCACCATCATCACCACCACTACCAACACCTACCGCGACATCATCGCGTCTCGCGTCTACCGATTCTGGTCCCTCATTTGGCTGCTGCTGCTACTGCTGGTTCACCCTCTCGTCGACTCCTCGCCGGAACCCACCTTCGTCGTCCTCTGCATCTCCCTCTTATCCTCCCCTGATTTCGAAGCTTGCTCGCTCCGGATAAGGCGTCGTCTCTTCCTCGCGCTCGCGTTCGTCTTGTTAAATTCCTTCTTCGTTGTTTTCTTTCCGATTATGGTCTCACCTGCTGTTTTCGATATCGCCGTGCGGTATGTTTATCTTTATCGTACCTTAACGCGTTTGTTTTGTGATGTTGTTGACACCGGAATCACTGATAGAAATTTCTCTCTCAGAAATTTGTAACGACTTCTTTTTTCTTTACGAGTCCTGTTTTATGTTTGTTGACTGCATAGTAAAAAATATTTTTCCTCCATCATCGATTCTCTGTTTCTCTCGTTTATTTTAGAAATTTTCTGCTCATATCCATACTTCTTCCTGGCGCCGCGGAAGATCCGTTCTCTCATCCTACATCTATCTCGATCTCCCGTCCTTTTGAAATCCTTCCTCCGTCGAACTCGGAGTTCCCCACTCTCGTCTGCATCTCGACATCCCCACCACAGAATCGTGTTCCGGGGGTGTGTCTACAGATAAGATGCACGTACACCTTTGCAGCTGTTCACCTGCAACACGCTCACTGCGACGGACTCGCGACTGCCGATGACCGAGCTTGTATGCAGAAGGAGCATCAAGCGATATCCATGCAATCGCAATCGATCTCTTGCGGTCTCGATTGCAGAGCATCCCATTGGAACAGATCTTTGTAGATGTGTAACAGAAATTTATATCATACAAACGGCGCGCGCGAAAGTATTTTATCATTACTGAGATTAGTGAAATTTTAATTAGCGGACTACGTTTAATAGGAACGTGCAATGATATTAATCTTCAAATGCTAAATCTGTATTTAATGTCAAATATATGTATTAATATATATTATTTTTTTGTGAGATATTTTCAAATAAAATATTTTTAAAATAATATTAATTTTAGAACCTTTCCATTTTTTTGACGAACAATATTATCTGTATATGTTGTAATATATGTCTAAAATGGCATAAAAAATATTAAAAAGCTATACTATATAAAACATGCAGAGTATAAAATATATGAAATAATTAGATACGCATCAATAATAATTAAATATAACATTTGAACACGCGATAAGAAGCAACAGATGCGTATCCGGATTAGAAACTGATTTGGTAAAGTCATTCTTTCACTTTCGTAATAAAAGCAATCAAGATTCGAAACATTAAGATCTCATCCATCGATAAATAGATTAACGGCACAGATTAATATGAAAAAAAAAAAAACTGTTCTTATTCCTCCGTCGAACTCGGAGTTCCCCACTCTCGTCTGCATCTCGACATCCCCACCACAGAATCGTGTTCCGGGGGTGTGTCTACAGATAAGATGCACGTACACCTTTGCAGCTGTTCACCTGCAACACGCTCACTGCGACGGACTCGCGACTGCCGATGACCGAGCTTGTATGCAGAAGGAGCATCAAGCGATATCCATGCAATCGCAATCGATCTCTTGCGGTCTCGATTGCAGAGCATCCCATTGGAACAGATCTTTGTAGATGTGTAACAGAAATTTATATCATACAAACGGCGCGCGCGAAAGTATTTTATCATTACTGAGATTAGTGAAATTTTAATTAGCGGACTACGTTTAATAGGAACGTGCAATGATATTAATCTTCAAATGCTAAATCTGTATTTAATGTCAAATATGTATTAATATATATTATTTTTTTGTGAGATATTTTCAAATAAAATATTTTTAAAATAATATTAATTTTAGAACCTTTCCATTTTTTTGACGAACAATATTATCTGTATATGTTGTAATATATGTCTAAAATGGCATAAAAAATATTAAAAAGCTATACTATATAAAACATGCAGAGTATAAAATATATGAAATAATTAGATACGCATCA